GTTTCCGCTGACCCTCCCCCTCCCTGCTTTCCCCAACAGGAGAAGGAGGCCCTCCTGGCGCTGGAGCAACGGTTCTGTGCGCTCACTGGCAGTGCCGCATTCCCCAAGGGCTCCAGCCACCTCCAAGAGGTTCGAGGGGGCTAGGGCAGCCTGGGGAGAATGTGCCCAAGGAGCTACGGCAGGGCTTGGGGCATGGCCTGGAAGGGCTGCCCCCTTGGTCAAGGGGAGGGGTGCTGGAGGTGGGACCCAGGCGCAAGAATGGCAGCACCCGCCCTCTCACATACTCTCCCCCCCCCCTCCAGCCCCCCAGCAGGAAGAGAGAGACGGGCTTTGAGCTGCAGAGGGTATTTGACCCCTTGGCCCATGTCAGGTCAGCTTCCACAAACCCTGCTTGGGCTGAATGCAGGCCCTGTTGAGGCCTCAGGGGCCGCATTTCCAATGCTCCCCCAGCCGTTCTTCCCCCCTCTTCTCTGTGGTTCCCACAGCCGTCCCTTTTGCACTTGTAAATGGGGTGCACTTGGCATTCCTGGTCTGGACCCCCGCAGGCCCCGGGCAGTGGCTCCTCGACTTGTGTCCTGGAGCAGTCTGGCCAGCAGCCCTCCCAAAGCTCAGCTCTGGCCTGGGTCTCTTGAGCCAAGATGGACAGGAGGTGCAGCAGCCCAGCTGGCCCCAAAGCAGGGGGCCACCCCCTCTGGCCACAGACCCTCCTGCAAGGACACCTTCTTCGGTCAGTCCAGCCACTGTGGAAGCGGCTTCTGCCCCCCCCCCCCCCCCCGCCCCGTGCGCCCCCCCAGGGCTTTCTTCCCACAGGGCTCTCCAACCGCAGTGGGCAGAAGCGGCAGCTCCCCCCACAAGCTGACCAGCCCCCTCCTCGACCTCGGGAGGAAGCGTGAGGCGTCCCTGCACCACAAGGGTGGGTGATGCCTCTACGGGGCCCTGGTCCCTCTCGGTGGGTGGGTGGAGTCCTGCTGGCACTGAGCCCCCCTTTCCCTGGGCCTCTTGGCAGGGCATCAGGCTGTTCAGGAGCAATGGCAGCGCCTGGCTGAGCCGAAGCAGAAGGCAGCTGTGGAGTGCCAGGCCCTGCGGGGCAGGGCCCTCTCCTCCCCCCTTGTGCCCCCCTCTGTCCTCCACCATCACCCCTTCCTGGGCCAAGGTCAACTGGCCGATGACCCCGAGCCAGCCTACGACACCCTCAGCCTGGAGAGCTCGGACAGCTTGGAGACCAACCTCTCCCTGAGTGGGAACTCCGCCTGCTCCCGGGACAATGCCTGCAGGTCAGCCCCCTCGGCCCCTGGGCTCCTGCCAGGGCTGCCCCCCTTCCAGGTTCTCCCTCTGGGGGGGCCGCGCGGCTGGCTGGCTGCTAAGTGCAGACCCTCCTGGGCCGGGAGAGGCGGGCTGGCGGCTGCGCAGGCAGGCGATGACAAGTGGTTGGCCTTGCAGTGCCAGTGGGGCAGATGCCAGGAAGATCGAAGAGATGGAGAAGCAGCTGATGGAGGCCCAGGCTGAGAGGTTCCGCCTGATGGAGTCGCGAGTGAGCGCGGGAGCAACAGCCTCGGGATGGGGTTCAAGGGAGCCGGTCCCCACCAGCTGGCCCTTCCAAGCCAGTTGGGGAGGGGGCTCGAGGCGGGTGGTTCCCTTCTCCCTAATGAATTCTGCCCCCATCCCCTTCCTCAAGCGGCAGGGCTGCCCGGGGTGGGTGGGACAGGGGTGGGTAGGCAGCTTCTGAACATGGCTGGGGAGGGCAGCTGGGGGTACTGAGGGGGCGCAGTGGCCCACCCTTCTGTCCCGGCAGGAGCAAGAGATGGAACTGCGTCACCAGGCCTTGGAGGACGAGCGGCGGAGGCGGGAGCAGCTGGAGCGGCAGCTGCGGGATGAGACAGCGCAGCGGCGGCAGCTGATTGACAGAGAGGTTAAGATGCGGGAGAAGCAGCTGGCTCAGGTGTGCAGGGCAGGGCTGTCAGGTTCCCCATGGAGAGGGAAGGCCTGTGCCTATCCTGGCACACCTGGCCAAGGAGGAGGCGGAGGCCCCGGGAGGGTTCTCTCTGGGGTCTGGGAGGCCGGCGTTGAGCTTGGCACAGGCGGACTTTCTTCCTGGCTGCAGGAGTTGGGGGGCAAAAGGACTTTGCCAGCGCTGCTGCCAGCTCCACTGCTCCCCCGTTCTGCAGGCTCGCCCCCTGACCCGTTACTTGCCCACCCGCAAAGAGGACTTTGACCTGCGCTTGCACATCGAATCCTCCGGCCACAGCGTGGACACCTGCAGCCACATCATTCTCTCGGAGAAACTGTGCAAAGGCTACCTGGTCAAGATGGGAGGCAAAATCCGGTCCTGGAAGAAGCGCTGGTTTGTCTTTGACCGCCTGCGACACACCCTCTCCTACTACGTGGGTGAGGCTCCCCAGTCCCGACACGGCCAGCCCCCCTGCCGCACTCTTCCTCTTGGCCCTCAGACTGGCTTCAGCCGCCTGCCTCTTCCTCTCCCCCCTGCAGACAAGCACGAGGCGAAGCTGAAGGGCCTCATCTATTTCCAGGCCATTGAGGAGGTTTATTATGATCACCTCCAATGCGCAGCCAAGGTGAGACCCAGCCTGATCAGGGAGGTGGCAGGGGGGGCACCGAGTGGAGCCCTAACAGACCCCCCCCCGGGACTGTGCTTCACCTGCCTTTCCTCCTCCCGCAGAAGAGACTCTTCCCTCCCAGCCTGTCCATGGTAGGGACCCATCCGTTTCCTCTGGCTAGCCCAGCAACCCTGCACGATCGATCCTGAATCCCTGAGCTAACAGAGCCATCCAGGAGGGGAACATTTGGGCTGAAACTCCTTAGGGACTGGGGCAGGGGGGCAGCACCGGGGGCAGACTAGGGCACCATCTCATCAGTCAACCTCCGCAGGGCTCAGGTAGCGTGCAGCCCCCTCGGCCTCAGGGCACCGCCTGAAGGCTAACGCTGAAGGCTGCGTGGGCTTCTTTGGGGCACATTTTGGCTGCCTGGGCAAAGCTTACCCATAGCTCTTGCGTTGCATCGCTGCCATGCGGCGCCTTGCCTGCCCCGCCCCCCGCAGTGCCTGTTCCCGGAGCGTCGTGTAGCATCGAGAGCCTTTTGCTGCTCTCTCTTCAGGGGAGGTTTTGTGGGGGCCACTTCCGCCGCCTTCTGTGCCCTTGAGCAGGCGTGGCTTAGGGTTGGGGTCCTCTCCCTTCTCTTGGCAGAGCCCCAACCCTGCCCTCACCTTCTGCATCAAGACCCACGACCGGCTCTACTACATGGTGGCCCCCTCAGCAGAAGCCCTGCGCATTTGGATGGACGTCATTGTCACGGGGGCCGAAGGCTACACCCAGTTCCTGAGCTGAGGCAGCAGAGCCATGAATGGCCCCAGAGGGCCGAGAAGCTGTGGCTATCCCTCCGAAGCTTCCCAGGGATGGCCTCCGTCAGCAGACCTGGCCCCCTCTGCCATGGGTGCCTGGGGTGGGCATGCGGGTGGCGAAAGCAGGGCCCCTGTTGGCAGCCTCTCCTGCCCATCACCAAACTCCAGGAGGAAACCTGGAACCGCCACGCTCAGGCTTTGCAGGGCAGGGCTGGCTGCCCCCACCGCCGCCGGCCCAGGCCAGTGCAGAGAAGGCCCAGAAGGTCATCTTGGCTCTCTCATCTGCAGGGCTGCCCTGCAGGAGCGACTGGGAAGGGTTCCCACGGGCAGCTTGGGGGTGCTGAAATTGCTGGCAAGAGTCTTTGCAGCCAAGAGACAGGAAAGCAGAATAAAAGCCTTTTGCGTACTTTCATCCACATGGTCCTTTTGTCATGAAAAGAACTGGCTCAGCCCATCAGCCCATCAAAGCACAAGACCGGAGCCAAGAGAAAGAGCCACAGCACACACGGCCCCCTTCAGGGCGGAGGGCCACTTCTCAGGTCTGACTCACCATTTCCCACCATGGTGAAGTGGACGTCAACGATGGGGGGAGGCTGCCTCTTCCTGGGATTCCCCAGCAAGCAGCCCAGAAGCCCCCCCGCCCCCCCCCACACACAGGCAGCCTTGTGACTCTTGAGTCACAGGTCCCTTCTAAAGCTGTGGTTGTAGACTTCAGGATCGGCCCTAGAGACGCACTTTGCTTTTATCTCTCACTTGACCCGCCTCAGTGTTGCAGCCTTAGCTGACCATCGGCTTTCCAGAGTTCTTGTGGGGTTTTCCAGCCATTATCTGCACCGGGGCTCATCCCTTTGACCACTGCTTGCCCCGGTTCGGCCCGGTTCTATAGAACCTGTAGCTGCAAAGAGCAGCTGACACCAAACTGGTTCGGTGTTTGGCCCACCCGCCTGCCTGGGCTCTCGGCTGTCCTTTATTCCCTGCTTTTCCCTCCTCAGCTGCTTTGCGCGGCACAGCTGAGGTTGAAAAAGCAGGAAACGAGAGGATTTTCAACCACTGCGCTCCCAAGCGCAGCGCTTGTCAGCTGTCCAGGCGGCACAGCTGATGATTTCTTGCAAACGCTGCACACACGATTGTCCCCAGTTCAGAGAACCGGCAAATCGCTCCACTGGCTGGCCCCGCCCACTCACCCCTTACCTGGCATGCTAGCCATCCAACAGGTCTGGTTAGGTATGTGTCTTCTATTTGCTATTTCCTTTTTTCCCCCCCGACCATTAGCTGTTCTGCTCTGCCAGGAGATTTAGATTAGCTAGAAAGCAGGAAACCCTTGGATTTCTTGCTTTCTAGCTAATCTAAAAGCAGAGCCTCACCTTCCTTAGGACAAGCTTTTTAGTCCAGACTCAGGTAGCCGATTGAAGATAGATCTCTAAGTGAATCTGTGATTGTGTGAGCAACTCAATCTGCCTGCCTGCTTTGCTTGATTTGGGGTAAAAGTTGCTCTTTTTTTGTAAAAAAAAAATCAATATTTACATAAATATTTACATACAAGCCATGTCCACCCAGTCACATGACCACCAAGCCATGCCCACCCAGTCACATGACTAAGAAGCCACACCCACAAATTAGGCCACACCCACAGAACCGGTTGTTAAGAAATTTGAATCCCACCCCTGCATTGAAGGCACATGCGGGCAACACACTCTGAGAGCTTTATTGCCTGGCCAAATGGCCAAGGACAGCTGAGAAAGGGAGGGTTCCATAGGCTTTAAGGCATGCAATGGGGCCCCGATGTGTGCAGGGCCTGCACAGCGCAGTCGTTCTGAGCCACACCCATCCGAGGGTCTCGAGAGCCAAGCCGAAGAGGCGGCTACCCTTCCCAGTGGACAGGTCCATCCCCGAGGAACCCAGGAAGCCGTGAGATCAGGACAAGGCAGGTCCCAATGAAGGGCCAGGAGGGAGAGCAGCGCACGTGGGCGGACGTGAGCTGCTCTCCATACAGATCTAGCAGCTGGAGGGCCACCCCGTTCGTCCAGCCGAACCCTTCCTGCAGAGGGAATGGAGGAGGGATCAGATGAGTGGGGGCTCTTTGATCAGGATACACCCCCCACCCCCCTCTTTTGCCGTGTCGAGACCCCTTACCTGCACTGGATATTCCCCACCACCTCCTGGCTTCCCATCACCTTCCACGTCGTACTAGAAAGAAAAAGGTGTCAGCAACGATGGCCGGCTGCTCCAGGCTAAGCTACCCGGAGGGGCCAGGGCATGGAGGCAGCCAATGGGAGAGGACCTCTCCTGGAGGCTCCATGCTGGGAAGGGGTGGGGGGAGGATGGGGGGAGGGGGAGGGGAGCTGCATGGAAGAGGCAGGCGCACAGGAGAGCTACCTCACCTTCTCAAACATGCCTCCGTGCTTCTCGTAGACAGCCAGGTTCATCTGGAGCCAGCGCTGAGCCAGGCTGAAGGCCAGCTCTCGTGCCCGGGCAGAAGAGGATTTGACCAGGCCTGGCAGGGCAGGCAAAGGGTGTCAGGTGATGCCAAGGGAAGCTACCCCGCAGGTCTTGAGGCTGGGCTCTGGCAGGGAGAGTGGCCCCAGGGAACAGGGCAGGAGGCTGAACCCAGCACAAGCTGGAAAAGCAGGAGGCAGGGCCAGCCCCGGACCCGGTGAAACCCACCCTGGGCTCTTTGGACGGCTGCCTCACCTGTGATCACCATGTGCTGCAGTGGGGCCCAAGCATTTGGAAAGTCCCACTGCTCCCCCGTCCGTGTCAGGGAGGTGGGCAGTCCGTTAGCATAGGACAGGGCCGAACTCTCCTGCAGGCACACACAAAGGGGGGGGGGCATTTCCAGCCAGGGACAGTGGGTAGGGGGCAAGGCTGCCCTGAGGTGACCTATCCTGTTGGGCCCCAATCTCGGGGTGGCACAAGGTGCACCTAGGGACTGATGTTCCGTCTCTAAGGCCAGCATTGGGTAGACAACAACCTGCCTACCGCTGTGCCGGTGTCCCTCTCAAGGAGAGCCCCCCTCTGGTGCTTTTGCAGGCAGGCAAGGGGCCCCGTCCCCATACCAGGGCTGCTCCCCCAGAAACACGTCAAGATCTGTGCAGGTAAGTTGTGCTCCCCACCAGCTGCCCAGGTAGCGTCTCTCTCTGGCCAGCCACTGGCTGCCTCTTACCTCCAGGTAGTGAAGCACCTTCTCTGCCCTGGGCAAATCCACGTCACACTCTGCCCACAGGGGGCTTAGGTTGGAGGGGTAGAAGGCCGGGTTGTGCCTCTGGCGGAGGAAGTGATAGTCCAGCCAAACCCCAGCCTCCTCATTCCACAGGACAGCAGTGAGGGCAGCCACCCGCTCTCTACGTGCAGCCCAGAACCGGCTCGCTTTCTCGCCATCCCCTGGAGAGGGCAAGCGGCACTCCATGCTCCAGGCAGGTGGCTCACCAGGGCCCCAGAGCTGAGCCAGCTCCCCCCCGGCCGCACAGCCATCGAGCAAGAGGCAACCCACCCCCCCAAGAGGGAGTTGGTGGCAGCTGCCCCCTTTGTCCCATGTCTCACCAAGGACTTGGTAGAAAGTGGCCAACAGCTGCTCCACTTTGCAAAGAATGGCGTTTAAGTCCACTGGCACAACCCCCCTCACTCGGGTGTCTTGTAGTGGGTCCTGCAGTGATGGGAAGCCTGGCAAGAACCAGCGGGAGGAGAAATCCCAGCCCGACTCGGCCGCACTCTGCAACTCTGCCCACAGGTCCTGCTGAGCTTCTGCGGGAAACAGGTGGGGAAGCAGGAGGTGGCAGCCTCTGGCACTGCCCACCAGAGCCGCAGGCAGGATGCAGCTTTGTTGCCATTCCTCGGATCCTAGAGGTGGAAGATGCCCTGAGGTGCCCAGGGGCCACTCCCGGCCAGTCTAGGAATTCACATTAAACACCCCTATGAGCGAGTGGGTGAGTGGGTGGAGGAGGAGGGGAGGGGAAAGGGAAGGGGGAGGGCAAGGCAAGGAGAAATGCCCATGAAGCACAGCAAGCCCATCGCTGGCAAACTACTCTTACTATGAAGAGGTTTCCTTAACATTTGATTGGCAATTCCCTTCCTGCGATTATCTTTGGCCTTCAGAGGTCACAGAGAACCACCTCAGTCCTTTGATGTGGGAGACATCCTTTCAGCTAGTTAAAAAATGGTGCCCTAGGCTTTGCCTCTGGTGTCTTGCCTGATTTCCTAAACCCTTCTTGAGATGTGGTACCCAGGATTTGTCCAATTGCTCAAGGAGAATTTGAGCGAAGCGGAATGAAATGGAATTATTATTGGACATGCGGTGACTGGAAGCTCTATGTTTCCGATTCAGACAATAATTGTAGGTGCTGTTTTTGTCGTGTGCTGGGCTGCTCACACTTAGTTGGCCAGCCTCTACGACTTCAAGATCCTTTCCATAATGCCATTTCCGAGCCATTTCCCTCACCATGGACCCGATTGGGCAGTTACCTTCCTGTAAGCCCTTTGCCAGCTCCACATCTTTCATATAGGACTCGGGTCTGGTGGGGAGAAGGGAGAAAGGTTGAAGGGGATCCAGATGTTCTTGGATATCAAGAATGTCCAATTAGTGGGAGGAGGAGCATCTCTGCAGGGCCACTCACCTGGGTTCCCCCACCTGGACATTGTAGCGATTCAGGGAGTATTGCTTGCCCCCCACAGAGATATTGACAGCCCGATGGTCTTGCCAGAAGTGATACTCGGCCTCAAGCAGGTGGATGTGTTTCCTGAAAGAGGCAGTGGTGAGAAAGCCTTGAGAAGGGGGGCCCCAAACATTCCCCTTTAGGCCCAGTGACGGAGGGGGGGGGGGCACGATGCCCTTGGCCAGTTCTGCCAGCTGAACGGCAGCAGCCCTGAGCAAGTCAAAAGTCCTGGTCACCACTTGGTTCACAGATACTTGCCGCAGAAACTCTGTGTCATTTGTGTGCCTCAGGTAGCTCTCCATCATTAGGCTGAGAAGGGGCGGCTGGCTCCGGCGCTCGTAGTACACCCGGCCTCCATTTGGGATGTGCCCAAATCTGATCATAGGAAGCACCTGGCTCAGAGGAGGCCTCCCTGAGGCTAGCAGAGGACCTGCCCGTGCCCACCCAGCGGGTTCCCCCTCTGCTTCTTGGGAGTGGAGGCAGGAGGAGGGGGCCACGCCTCTCCCCAACCCTGCCTTTCCCAGCAACCCTCACTTGCTGACTAGGTAGAGGAAGTTCTGGATCAGGCCCTTGGCTGTAGCTGCCATGTTGGAGAGGAGGAGGCCTTCCAGGATCCAGAAGGAATCCCTGCAGGAAAGGAGGGGTGGGTTGAGGGAAAGGGGCCTCTCCTGGCCAGGCCGGTGGGTTGGGCCACAGTCCACCACCAGCCCTCCGTGGCTCTCACCAGTAGTAATATTCACGGAACCGCCCCCCAGGCACGATCACTGGGTTTGGCACGTAGATGAGAGAGTAACGCCAAGGAGAGGCTTGGACATCGGGGTCCACCTGAAGGGAAATGGAGCGGCTGCTGCTGAGGGCCCAGCAGCCTCCCTCAGCACCCCCCCAACCGGCTGAGCCTTGGCACTTACCCGCCTGCCCAGCTTCTTCCACTTGGCGTTCAGGACCCGGCCCCAGGACCGCAACTTCTCATCTGAAATCTTCTCCAGGAGGGGGATGCTACAGGGGGCCCAGGAGATTCAGAAGGCAGCCATTCGAGAAGGGGTGGGACTCCCCAGGGAGGGGGAAATGTCACCCACTTTGCAACCTGCGCAAGGCCCCCCAAGGCCTCGGAAGAAAAAGGCTTCCATCCATTCCCACCCTGGCGCCTTGGGCGGGAAAGCATCACGGAGCAGGAGATTCCCAGGCAATTTGGGGGCAGGCCAGGAGCACGGGGGGGGTGGTGGTGGTGGTGGCCTGAGAGTGGCTTTCCCAGAGAGGAGATTGGCCATTCAGAGAGAGAGGGCTGACTATTGGCTGGCTGCCGCGGTCAAGGGTCCTGACCAGAAAGTTGGGAGGGGCTGTCTTCAAGGTCAGAAAGTGGCAGGTGACCTCAGGTAATAGGTGGCTTGTAGGATCTCAAAGACCAACACGCCAAAGCAGAATAGGGCCCGGAGCCAATGCCCACCTAGAAGGGTGGCCAGGGTTTTCTAGGAACGCGGTCTCGTTGTTGAGAACTCATACGCTGCAAGGGGCAGCCTTGTGCCATCTCTGAGAGCAGGGAATTTGTCACCACACCCCTTCCAGGTGCAGCTGTACCTGTCTGACCAGTCTGGAGGCGTCCAGCTTTCCAGCTCCTTCCCTGGAGGAAAAAAGTGACTCTCCACAAATTGTGTCAGCTGCAGCTTGGATAAGGCTCCACCAGGTGTGGCATTCACTAATTCCTCAAAATGCTTCAGAACCACACCTGGAAGAATGGGACAAAAATCTAGATCTGATCTAGGTTCACCCTGGGGTGGAGGGCTGAGGAGGGGCTAGACTTGCGCTAGCACACTTCAGCCGAACGGGCAGCCTTTCCTCTGCCTGAGGACATACAGCCAGTTTCTCCATTCAGGAGCACCTCTCCAAATGATTGGGCCGTTATGGAAGCAGGGCGACTCTGGCCCTGGGAAGAGGACTGCGCTCTAGGGGTGGACATTCACCTGGATTGGACTTCAGTGGCATGTCAACAAAGTCCTTGTCATCTTGGAAGAGCCTGGACCGCTGGACCTGCCGCAGCAGCTCCCCAGTGCAGTAGATGTGGCTGGAGAGGAAGAGCAGAACCGGTGTGCAGAGGAGCCATGCCATCTTGGGGAAGCCAGGCAGCTGCTCCTTGAGGCCCACGGCCAGGGCTCCCCAGGGGCAAGGCCCTAAACACCAAGCACCCCACTCCTCCCCCTTCACCTGGGCCAAGAGCGCTAGGCTGCCAAGGTGCCTCTCCCTACAGGGCATGGAGTCTGCTGCCACCTTGCAGGGCACTCCCTTGAACTCTGAGCAGCCCCACCCTTGCCGTCTCCTCCTCGCCGTGTGGAAGAATCAGCCACAGCACAATGGGCCCACCTGGGCCGCCACCACCGTTACAACTATAATCAGCAAAAGCAGCTCCGTCCAGTCCTGGAGCCTCAACCCAATCAATCGGAAGCAGCAGCTTCTGTCTCGTTCCCAACCAGGGACCAACTTCATCCCCACAAACACTTCCAGGCTCCTTCTGAGACGGGGGTGTCAAACTCAGGGCCTGCGGGGGGCTTAGATCGGGCCAGTCTGGAAACAAGAGAACTGGCCTGTGGTGCCCCCGCCAGCAGAAAAGGAGCTCCCCTCCCCAGCTCCGTTTTCACTGGCGGAGGACTAGGCCCCCATAGGTGCCCCCACCCCAAGGCCAACCACCACCCTGATGCGGCCCTCAATTAAATCAACTTTGACACCCTTTCCAAGGCAACTGCCTTTTCTCCTCCTCCTCCTCCTTTAACCCGCCCGCCCCAGCAGAAACTCCCTGGGCACATTTTGTGGCTTGGTAAGATTGGCACCAGGCCTTGTCTCATCTCTGTTGTGCGCAGTTTCGGACTCTGCAACAAGCAATTCCCTTTTCCAACAATGCTGCCCCACCAGCTCTCACTCACCTGTCACATGGAGGCAGAAGGCTGCCTGCCATTGCCTGCCACCCCCACAGAGCTGCACACACGACCACGAATGCCCACCCCACCGGACCTGGCATTTCAGCGGAGAGCTGGAGTGTCCAGCAACACCGCCATTCCAGGCAAGGCCCGCAAAGCAAGCCTGCAGTTTCACACTCAGCTCTTTCTCAAGTTTCAGGCGGGGCTGCCCAGGCTGGCATGCAGAGGGCGGGGCCTGGGAAATTCCCAGAGCTTGGTGGCGCAAGACAATCTTAGTCTACTCTGCATGTTCTTCTCCACACGCTCTCGGGGCCTGGGAGGCAACATGCTGTACAAGTAAAGAGTCTGAAGCAAGTTCAGGTCCCAGCGAGCTTTTATTGAGCCAATTCTCTTAAAAATAAGTCAGGATTTTATAATTCAGCATTTTTGACAGGAATTTCACAGCCTTCCTTTATATACTTGTGTACATATGCTGTGCCAAAATCTGAGCTCTGCTGGGCATTTGCCAGTCCCCAGTTCCAAACAAAAAATAATCTTCCCCTCCCAACCCACCCCTTGTTGACACTGTTCGTACTGGACATGGCCTGAACTGAACCAAGGATCAATGAAATACAACATTGCTTGAACTGAATGAAAAAGTAGGTTCCCCAAATTTTCCAGTTTCAAGAAAGGGAAAATTGACTTATTTTCTTCCACACATTGCCACCCCTACGTCTTGGTTAAAATACAGCAAGGCTGTATCTTTGTGTTATCCTCGCTTCCCCCTCCCTCTCCCCCCTCCCCCCTGCACAGGACTCCAGAATGTTGCCTAAGGAGTAGAGTTGCAGCAGATTCCCCCTCTGGCTGCTCCAATCTTCCCTCCCTCCAGAAGACCATGAGATATTCCATTGCAAAGGTGGTGTGATCCCACTTGGATTGAACTTTCCATACCCTGCCAGGGAACAAATAAGGATTGTGCCCCAGAAGTAGGCTCCGGAGGCATGCTTTGTACCAACAGCATAGGTCAGACTACTGCTGGAAACAACTCATACCCACAAAGGACCCTGGACACAACTGTGCCTCTCTCAATTGGCAAGATTCAGCCGGTCCTGTGCAAGCAAGCCCACCCTTAAAATAAAGAAGAGTAGAATGAGATGCCCAAATCAAACTCATCTGCTTTGGTGTCTAGTTTCTGTGATCTTGTCCAGCTCTAACAACAGACACAAAAGCAGAGGGGATAGGAAAAGATGCTCCCATCTCATTCTGTAATTAAAAAAAAAGGAGAAGCAAAACTCAACCCACCCACCCACCCACCCACGGTCATCCCTACTAGGTGCAGGGGGGTCCTGGGAAGCCCCCACCGATGTTATCACCAAAGCCTTGTTTTGCCCCAGCATTGAGTCCCCGGAGGGGGGTGGGGTGGGTGGGGGACAAGGCAACAAAAGGGCCCAGGAATTTGTTTTCTCAAAATTTCTCCAGAAGCGCCTGAACCAGTTTTGAGAAACTGTTGGCAACGGCTCTGTGCATAAATCCAATTCTCGGCCTTCATTTTCAGATGAAAGGGATTAAAAAAAAAAAAAAAAAGACAGACAGACAGACAGACCGGGGTGTCCCTGGTCGATGTCTGGAGCATCTTTCCCTTCCAAGTCCCTCTTCACCACTGAGAGACAAGGAGCCATTGTCAGGTGGCTTTCTGACCCAAACAAAGCCACCCAAAAATGGTGGTCAGAGGTTGAGGCCGCTCCTCTGCTAGGCGGCCGCAGGTGAAGTAATACTTTCTCTTTACAAAAGGCTGTGCTTCAAGAGTGACAAGAGGAGCGTGGCCAGGCTGGACACAGAGTGGCCACCTCAACTCACCGCACCGAATCAGGTGTTGTACGTGTTCTCGCAAGTTTCAAGGCTGCTGCGCACATTTTGCCTCTGCTCTCTCCTCCTTTGGGAACGCCCCTGGCTGCTGCAGAAGAGCGAAATTTTGCTTTGGGTCGCAAGTGCCCCCTCCCCCCACCCCAAGCTGTCCAACCCCAAGCACTTGCTCATCTAAGGCAGCCTCAGTTGAATTCCCAGCAGAAGAGCTTTCTGTTAATACAACTTTTGCTACGGTTACTTGGACAAAACATGTTCCACTCCCAAAGGGTTGTCAGGAGGCACCTGGCTCGAGGCAGTTCTCTTGAGGTCAGGGCTGGAAAAAGTTGGTACTTTCTATCAGAACTGCTTAGCTTGTCAGGGCAAGAAGGAGGGATGCGGTGGGCTCCAACCATCTTGTCTCGGAGCCAAGAGAGCCCTGGTGCCTCCTGGCCCTCTGCTGCTGGCAGGCCGACAGGGAATCATTAAGACATTTACAGGTTGAGTGGTCTCACTCTTTCTGCCTGCACATCAGGCCAAACATCAAGCACATTGGGAGGGGCACACTTTAAAGCAACACTACTGTAATGGAAGCACACCCACCCCCACCCACACCCTGATGGGGGAAGAGCAGAGGGCTCGCCTTGCCTGCTCTAGAATCGCTCATCGGACGGGCTCCAAACAGAATCGCCACAAGCTGGCAGGAAGTTCTGATGCCACAAGCTGCCAGGATTGACCAGGACTTTGCCTCTTTGGAGTCGCTTTTGGTTCTGCCTTGCTTTGAGACAAAGGAGGCGATTGGGTCTCCTCCCCTTTAAGACAAATCCAGCTTCCCCTGGAGGGTTGTTTTTTCGGAGGGGGGGGGAGAGGGGGGGAGACAGGACCTTGCCCGACACTCTTCCAAATATTGCAACCCCTAAAGCAAGCCAGGCCTGCCTAGAGGCGTGGAGTCAAACGTGCTTGGTATCGAGTAGCGTTGCAGAAAACTGAGCCCCTCTCACCTTTAGCTGCTGTCAAGATCTATCTACAATCCCTTTAACGCCAGCAATCCTCATCCAAACAAAGAGAAAAGAAACTTATATGAACCCTTAACAGAAAAACACATATTTACAGAGTTTATACAAGTATACACATCCAATTTTCTGCAAAACACATCAGAGAGGAAAAACCATCATGGCTTGGAGACAGCAAGTGCTGTGCCCCCCCCACGGGAGACTCACGGAGGGCAGTCTGTAGTGTTCTGCGAGAGCCCCGGGGGCGTTTTGGGGGGGGCTCCTGCTGCAGATTGGTTGGCAAGTGGCTCTTTCCTCTCAGAGTGTGGAGGTTTCCCTCAATCAACCCAGGCCATCCAGGTTATTTTGCTTAAATACACATATTTACAGAGTGGGTGAACAGCAACTGCATCTCAATTCCTCCATTAAAAGAAAGTTAACCAAACAAAACTACTGACAAGGGCCACCTTCCAGCACCCGGAAGGGGAAGGAAACAGAGGCGGGGAAAGAGACTTCGACCTGAACCAAAACGACTCCTTGCGCTGTATCCAAAAGGGATTTTCTGAATGGTCTCATAGCATAAGGCACTTTGCACAAATAAGTAACAAGCTCTTTAGCTCAAAAGACAGATGAGGAGGAGCCAGGGAAAAGTTGAAATGTACTCAGTCGGGCAGCTGTGGGTGAATTTGAAATTGCAGTCAAGGTGGAGTTTGGGAATCTTCTCATTTCAGAGTTCTTCTACTCCATCACAAAGAAAGAAATTAAAACCAGCAGTTAGTGCAACTAATGTTCAGTCAGCACACAGTGCAAACAAGTGGGAAAAACAAAAGGTATTTTCTTCCTATCTTCTGCTTTTGTCTTCACAGCCAATTTTTTTTTTTAAAGGAGGGGAAAGCTCTGTAATTTTAATTGTTCCAAAACAAAAAGATGAAAAACCCTCAGAGAGGAGCCTCCCCCCAAAAATGATGTTTCACAGGTCCAGATCAAAGGGCTTTAGCTTTTGTGTTTAAGTAAAGCCTAGAAAAAGGGGGAAAAAAGGCCTTTAGCACCAAGGAAACAGCACCAACAAGCTACTTGCCTGACTGCTGTGGCCCAGCCCGCTCTGTGTCCTGCCCCATCAACGCCTCGGAGATGCAGGCTCGGGAAGGCCCGGTGTCTCAGAGCCGCAGGCCAAGGGAGGTGGGCAGAGTCTGGTCAAAAGGTGGACCTCTTTTCCCCTGGATGGGCGCTTTCCTTCCTTCCAGGGCCCGAGGGCCCCACCGGGGCTCCTGGGACAGGCGACGCCAGAGGAATAGAGCCCCCCGCCCCCCAATTCAGGATACCCACCCGCCACGTGTCCCTCAGATACCTACGCAGCAATTACGGTTTATCATCTTCTACGGTCTCGCTGTGGTATTCTGCCACATACAGGCTCTTGTCGATGTTACTAGGGATGGGCTTAATTTCTGTCCCCAGCTGCTCTTCAATACTCTTCAGGTTGAAACGATCGTCATAGGTGATCAAGTTGATGGCTAGGCCTAGATGGCCAAATCGACCTTCAAACAGAAAAAACAAAGGCCTTCAGTCTGGCAGCTGGCTTCACGAGGACGCCGTGTGGCTGACTGGGGGCGACCAGTTCTTCCCTCCCTGCCCTATGTGGCGGAACAGTGTTTTCCAGTGTCAGACCATCATTTGCTGGTAGCAAAGTGCATACGGCTTTCTTGGTTTCATCCAACGGTGGCTTTAAATATCTGTGAAGTACCTTACAATGTACAAGTGGCAATTGTGCTTCTTGATAAGCCAGTAACTGCCGCATAGAGCAGTTCAGAGAGCGGAACCTGCCCAGCTGCTACCACCCTGCACAGAGCAGCACAGAAGCTCAGCAGGCTGAAGAACAAGCGATTTATGGGCCTGATGTCCTTGTGGGGGGCAACCAGCCCCTTGCTAGAGGAATGGATGGACCGACTGGCTGCTCTCCAGAGCCCCTCCCTGAGGGTTCTAGCTGCTCACACATGACACACAGCTGATGTTCCACCAGCATTCGCAAAGTTATGGCAAACATCCTAAATCAAGAGGTTCAGAGTTTGCAATCCATGCTAGCTACTAGCTGCCAAGAATCATCATCAGATACAGCCATTTACATCTTTTTCACTGAACGATGTCCTCACCTGATCTGCCAATACGATGGAGATATGTCTCTGCCAGCTTTGGAAAATCAAAATTGATCACAACATTCACAGCTTGGATATCAATACCTCGGGTAAAGAGATCTGAAAAACAAACCTTGCACCTTAGAAAAATCCGGTAATACAAAAAAGACAGGCTCAGAATCTCTGGCTATGTAAGTGACACAAGACTCATCCAACTTTTGGATTGTTCTGTAGCCTCAAGCACAAAGAAATGTTAGCGTGAAAAATGCTCAAGACTGGATCCTGCAGGTTTCTTTCTTTTTTTTTATGGCAAAAGTCTCCCTTATTTCCCACCGTCTCTACTTTTTGACCCAGA